TTCTCCAGCTGCTTCAGCAAAGGCATTGCCACATGCCCCAAACGTCGGTGTGCAGTTGCCCAATCTGTCTCCCCAGATCTGGCCGACACTTTCACACCAACCCCTCCAACGGCGTTGCACTCCCCCTGGGATGCAGACCCCTCTCCAGCCTGCCCTCCACCGTGCCACGCCAGCGCCGGCAGCTGCCACATAGATCTGTACACGTCCTTGCTTTCGTGCAGATCCCAAAGCACCCGATTGCCCAGCTTCCCCTTATAAGTGCGAGCCCCATCCGTGTTGGTGTTCACCCCAGCCTTGCCAAGCTTACGGAGGGAGATGAGGTTGGCCTTCAGGTCGGGGACGAGGAGAACGTCGTGCAGCACCACCGGCTTGCCATCCGCTCCCTTAAATGCAGCTCGTCCCGCACCAGCCACCTTCAACATGTGTCCAGAGGCAGAGCACACCTCATTAATCGGTGCAGCGCGTACGTCGTCCAGCAGGTCCTTGCGCGGCGTCATTGTCCAAGCAGCGCCTGTGTCCAACACCCAATAGTCCAGGGGGTGCAGCTCTGCTCTAGCCTTAGCAGATGCGTCTCCTTGCTCCCCCTTGTCTCCCATATGGAAGAATTGGCCCGCGGTGCGCTCCTTCTTCTTCTCCGCACCGCCGTTGCCCTTTGGGTTGTTGTCGGACGAATCAGCGACCATGTTGGCGCCGTTTTTCTGGTTCCTCCGCGCGCCGCCATCCTGGTGACGATTCTGGGGGGTCCATCCATCGGGTTTCTTATAGCACAAAAACCAGGGGTGCCCTTCCTTCTCACAATACCAGCAACTCCCTTTCATTTTGCCACCAGCACCCGACTTGCCCCCACGTCCAGATTTCGCACCGCGACCCCAACCGGTACCTCCTTGTTGGTCGTTGGAGTCGTCGTCTTTCTTTGCACCGCGTCCAGCACCACCGAAGCCACGTCCTTTGCCACGTCGGCTCCCTTGCATCCCGTAGCCGCTGCTGCCGTCGTCTCCACCCCTCAGTTGGCGGCGACGGAAGTCCTCCTCCAGAATCTTCGTCCGCACCCACTCGAGCGTCCACAAGCTCTGGTTCTGCGGCAGGCTCAATCCGCTCGTAAATTGAAGCCACGATTCCGGCAGCAGCGAGAGCATCTTCAAGCACTTTGTTTGCTCCGGGTAGGTGATTCCTGCGGTCGCCAACTTCGCGTAGAGGTCGCGCAATTTGTCCAGGACAGGTTGCACCGGCTCTCCCTCGCTCAGGCGCAACGCGGACAGCTCCCTCTCCAGCATCAATGTTGCAACAACAGAGGTCGGGGCGTGCAGCTCCTTCAACACCGTCCACGCCTTCGGACCGCACTCAACCTCCGGCAGCAGGTGCATGACGTGGTGACGCTGGTTCATGTTGGTGTAAGGGCCTAATAAACTCAAGCTATTAAGACTTTATCACACTTAAAACCTCTCCTCGGGGTCACCTCCAAGGGTCCTTGGGTGCCTGGTACAAGACCAGCCCCTATCCTCGGGTCCGAGTTTGTAGAGAGAGGGATCAAGAGGGACTTAGTCAAAACAGCAAGAGTACCTTGAGCGTCGCGCAGCGTATCGTGCAGACCGTCGACCGGATTAAGCTGAGAATTTGCTATATCGAAGCTCACTCTAAGAGCTTTAAAATAAGCCAAGTTGCCTCGCGAAAAGTTCTGCCATTACGAAGTTATGGCTCGGACAGCGTTAGCCTAGCGTTGGAGTGCTAGCATACTAGCGTTGACTCGGGTAGCATTCCGCCGTCGCATCGCGTAGAAAACGAAATTCCAGCAAGGAAGGAATTCGCTTGAATCAATTTCACTATATCCAGGTACAAACAGAGAAGGAATAAATAGTTCTAGCTAGCAAGGACCTTGGGAATGAACCTGAGAACAACCAGGGATCATCCCAAATAATTCCAAGCAACAGAACCAACCTGGCTGGACAAAACAGCAGGTGGTAGGTTGGTAAACAACCTCTGGTTCTGTTTTTCCAACCTGGGAAAACAACAACCAGGTTCAGGTCCTAAAAACAGAACCTGTTTTGTCTTTGCCCAACCAGCCAAATGCTGGTTCCGCTGGTTTCCCCTGGCCCTGTAGCATGCAGATACAGACAAACAACATCCAACCTTCACCTAAATTGTACCCCTATAGTGCCTGCCCTGCTACACTATAGTCAACCAAACAAAACAGTACAATTTCGAGTTGGATAGAACTGAATCTGCGCAATCAAGTAAGTTGAACCGCAAAGCTTCCATCTTGGGTTCCTTTGCGAGCTCGTCCTTTCTGCTTCTACTGTTCATAGCGCGTACAATGTTATGCCGAAGCGCACATTGTGCGAGTACCTGCAAATGCTTCAAGCGAAAATTGCGAAAGCAAATAAACACACAAACATACCATTCACACCCAAATGCATTCGCACACGCATACTCGTACAAACAGACGGCAGGATGTCGTGCAATGTGATAGCAAGGGAGCTCTTGGGATGGCCAGGAACGCTGTGCTTCATGGGCTGAATAAGCACATGCGTATCAAGTGGCACTGGCTGCGTAAGGAGGTGAAGAGGGGGACGGTGAATCCGATCTACATCAAGACTCACCAGCAGCCAGCGGACTTCCTCACCAAGAGGCTTGCGGATGAGTCTCATTGGCGTTGTGTGCGCATGAGTGGAATGAGCATGAACTAGTATGGAATGATGGGGATGCAGCCGGCAGGCTGAGGGGGAGTGTGTTGGGTGCAAATTCACATTGCACGACATCCTGCCGTCTGTTTGTACGAGTATGCGTGTGCGAATGCATTTGCGTGTGAATGGTATGTTTGTGTGTTTGTTTGCTTTCGCAATTTTCGCTTGAAGCATTTGCAGGTACTCGCACAATGTGCGCTTCGGCATAACATTGTACGCGCTATGAACAGTACAAGCAGAAAGGACGAGCTCGCAAAGGAACCCAAGATGGAAGCTTTGCGGTTCAACTTACTTGATTGCGCAGATTCAGTTCTATCCAACTCGAAATTGTACTGTTTTGTTTGGTTGACTATAGTGTAGCAGGGCAGGCACTATAGGGGTACAATTTAGGTGAAGGTTGGATGTTGTTTGTCTGTATCTGCATGCTACAGGGCCAGGGGAAACCAGCGGAACCAGCATTTGGCTGGTTGGGCAAAGACAAAACAGGTTCTGTTTTTAGGACCTGAACCTGGTTGTTGTTTTCCCAGGTTGGAAAAACAGAACCAGAGGTTGTTCACCAACCTATCACCTGCTATTTTGTCCAGCCAGGTTGGTTCTGTTGCTTGGAATTATTTGGGATCATCCCTGGTTGTTCCCAGGTTGATTCCCAAGGTCCTTGCTAGCTAGAGCTATTTATTCCTTCTCTGTTTGTACCTGAATATAGTAAAATTGATTCAAGCGAATTCCTTCCTTGCTGGAATTTCTTGTCTACGCGGTGCGACGGCAGAATGCTACCCGAGTCAACGCTAGTACGCTAGCACTCCAACGCTAGGCTAACGCTGTCCGAGCCATAACTTCGTAATGGCAGAACTTTTCGCGAGGCAACTTGGCTTATTTTAAAGCTCTTAGAGTGAGCTTCGATATAGGAAATTCTCAGCTTAATCCGATCGACGGTCTGCACGATACGCTGCGCGACGTTCAAGGTACTCTTGCTGTTTTGACTAAGTCCCTCTTGATCCCTCTCTCTACAAACTCGGACCCGAGGATAGGGGCTGGTCTTGTACCAGGCACCCAAGGACCCTTGGAGGTGACCCCGAGGAGAGGTTTTAAGTGTGATAAAGTCTTAATAGCTTGAGTTTATTAGGCCCTTACACCAACAGAGGCCAGCTCGCGTTGCTCAGGAGTGGCGAAGACCAGGTCGTCGACGTAGACCAGGACAAAGAACGGGGTCGAGCCATGGCGTATGAACAGTGACGGGTCGGCAGACGACGGAAAGAAGTCAAGCGCTGCAAGGGTCAAGCGAAGTGTGTGGTGCCACTCACGTGGAGTCTGATAAAGGCCGTAGACTAGTCGACGCAGCTGCCACTGGGTCCCAGGTGAGAACGAGCCAGTGAAGCCAGGCAGACGACGCAGCCAGATTTGCTCGTGCAGGCTCCCCTAAAGAAGCGCAGTGGAGAAGTCCAAGGAGTGCAACTCGTAGTCGCGGTGGGCAGCAATATGCAGCAAAACCCAAAGAGTCCTCATCTTCGGGGTGGGAGCGAAGGTCTGGAAGAAGTCCACCCCCTCTCGCTTAGTGAAGCCTCTTGCCACATAGCGCGCCTTGAACACTGGTCGATCCTGGCGGCCGCTTCACCTTGTAGGGCCATCGGCCACTGACAACGTTCGTCCCAACTGGTGGAACTGCGTCGACGTAAGTGCCTGTGGGCCTATAAGATGCCATCTTTGCCTCCTCCGCTACTATCCAGTATGAGGCCCAAGGTCCCAAGACCACCTCAGCGTGATTGCAAGGGACCGGGATGTAAAGGGCGTCTGGATCCCTCTTAGGGGCAAGCAGCATGGCGCAGAGATGAGGAACAGCGGCCGTAAGGAGACCAAGCTCGAACTGCCTGTCCTCAAGGACCTCTACGGGAAAGACAGGAGCACCCTCAGAGGACGGAGAACGAGCAGGGCCATTCACCAGGTGAGCGCCGTAGTCAAGGCGGTGGGAAGAGACAAAGCCAGCGACAGTGGTAACAAGAGCTGAGAAAGACGACAGGGGTGCAGTCGGGTGAGTGACCAACGCGGACAAAACATGGGAGATGTCAGGCCGGGAAGGACGGAGGTAGTCAGACAACGGGTCGTGAAGCACGGTGAGGGACGACTAAGGAGGCTGTGGAAGGACTAGAGGAGGTGGAACACGAGAACGGAGAACAAGGTGAAACGGGCCGTCTGCATGGTAACGAGACTGACGGGGCTCTGGAGACACATCACGACTGAGGGGAGAATGACGAGTCAAATGGGACAAGGAAAGAGACTGGACCGGGAGAACAGGATGGGACGGTAGGGGATCACGAACCAAGCATGCAGGGTCTGGCAGGTCACGGAGTCGCAGTCGCTGCTGCTCTGCCTCCTCTGGCGTCTTTTGCGACGGTACCTGCCCCTACTACTACTCCAGTGGCTCCTCCTCTGCCCTCGCCTGCTGCGGCTGCAGCTGCACCCGCTGCTATGACCGCGATTCCTGCGCTACCCTATCCTACTGTGGCCGTGACCCCTCCTCTTCTCTCTCCTGCTGTGTCTCTAACTGCACCTGCTGCTGCGGACATGACTCCTGCTCTACCCTCTCCTGGTGTGGCCGTGACTCCTCCTCTACTATCTCCTGCTACGACTGCAACTGCACCCGCTGCTGCTCTCGTGACTCCTCCTCTACTCTCTCCTGCTGCAGCTGCAACTGCACCTCCTGCTGCACTCGTGACTCCTCCTCTACTCTCTCCTACTGCTACGACTGAGACAGATCGTGCTGCTGCTGTTGCTGCTGCTGCTGCTGTGCCCTCTCAAACCGCTCACGCTCCTCCCTCTCCAACCGGAGGACATGCTGCTCACGGGTCAGGAAACGTACAGTGCGCGGTGTAGGCACCACAGTGCCACTGCCTCCAGCTCCAGCACCCCTAGAACCAACACCTCCACCACCGACACCCCCGGAGCCTCCAGTACCTCCCGCAGGAACACCCCCTAGGCTCCGCAGCAACCGGCCACATAGAAGAACGAGGAGGGAACTGCGGGACAGATGGGAAGGCAGTGGGTGATGCGGGGCGAGGCCGCTGACTCGAGGCTGCCGTATCCTCCATGAGAGTAACCTCCATGCCCACACCCCCTGCACCCCAAGAGCGGACACCACCAGCTCCTGCAGCCCCAGTACCCTCAACCTCCGCAACTGCACCTCCCGCACCCCCAGACACGACAGGGACTGGACAATGCGGGGGGGCCGCCTGCGGAGTGACGTGTGACACATCTAATGGGGCAGGATGCGAAGGGGGGAGGGGCTACCAGGGCGACTAGGGGGGGCTCATAGGTGAGGAACAGCAAGGAGGAAAAGACCTTAGTGCCTCGGTAAGGCGAACTCGTGTAGTAACCAATAGACTCGTTAACCGTGACGTTCTGAGAAGCGAAGAACCCGCAGGTGACCGGGTCGTAAAACAACCAGCCGGAGGCGTCCAAAGGGAAGCCAAGAAAGACATAGGCACGAATGCGCGGAGACAACTTGTTCGCGCCAAGGGCGCGGACGTGAGCCAGAATACCCAGACGCGGAAGTCAGCTGCTACCCCCTGGAGAAGCTATCCAGAGGAAGACCGGCGTCACCTGTGGCCGTAAGTCACTCGCCCACATGTTCAGCTGGTGCGCGGCGTAGCGGACTGCCTGAGGCCACAAGAAATGGGGGGCACCAGCATGGCATATGGAGGTCCGGGCAACGTCTATGACTAGGCCGATGCGTCACTCGGCTACCCCGTTCTGCTGCGGCAAGGCTGGTAACGTGTAAGACTAGATGATCCCCCGACCCTGACAGAACGTCTCCAGGCGAGTGGATGAAAACTCACTACCATGGACCGAGTCTAGGCGAAGCCTACACAGGCCTTGGGCGCCACCCCTCACTATTAGCCACGGCTCAAGGACGGTAGGCAAGTCGGCCTTCCGTCGCAAGGGGAAAACCGTGGTGAAGCGGGAGTAGTCGTCCACCACAATTAGGAAGAAACACTCCTGACATGGGCCAAGGACCGACCCAGACGTCCAAGTGCAGGGTTTGGAAGGGAGCCGTGATGGGGGAGAACAAGGAGGAGTGAGGGGCAGCGCGTCGACGCAAGGAATGCACGGCGGCGTAGGCGAGCGAGGAATCGGGGCAAGCGACTCTGGAAAACCTGAGACCAGACGGTGACGTACCAGACTAAGACGCAGGAACGGCGGGTGACCTAGACGGTGGTGCCAGAGGACCGACAGGTGGGTGAGTGACCGACAATCGCACGACACAGCAGCTACCTGACCTGACCTGACCTAGTGTGGTGGGACGCAGTGTATAGTGAGTACATACCAGAGCCCGGCTGTCTGTGGAAAGTGGACAGAGGCGCCTAAGTGGCACCGATTGTGCAGGAGGCAACATGCTCGTCCAGTGGGAAAGTAGTGACTATGCCTTGGTTGTGGAGGTGACTGACATCCATCTGGTTCCTGGAGAACCTGAGGGTGTAGTATCCTATGATAAACCCAGAGGGAGCCGCTGGACACGGTATAGTGGTGGTGCTGTGGGCATCTATAGGTCCCACAGAGGGGTCAGCCAAGGCGACAGTGACTGGAGTGCGCAGTGGTGTGAGGTCAGTACAGTCGCGAATGAAGCAGATGGACGCTCCAGAGTCTAGGGTGAAGGAAAGTTGTGTAGTCTGTGAGGTCGCACCCGAGTGAGCAACAAAGGCTGGTGCTAGACTAGTGGTAGCTGCAGCTCCTACACAAAAATGCTTAGAGGTGGCTGGGCTGGAGACAACAACGCACCAAGACTGGAAACACAGGTCTCTACTCGTGCAGCCGGGAAAGGTCCTGGACCAGATTGGTGAGACTCATCTGGTGCAGCAGTGCGCTGGCGAAGACGTGAGGGCTAGTGTCGCGTAATAGCATGAGGACGAAAACGATCATGGTGGAGGTCGTCGAGGCGATGGTGGCCGTGGGACGCAGAGTGGTCAGGACTTCAGCAGGTAGTGCCAGCACTAGGGCCTGTCAGGGCCCTGTACCCGCAGGGGCCCACGTCTCGCCCATTGCTAGCTGAGCCACTGCTGGGAGCGCCACACTTAGGACCTGCACGTCCCCACTGCTGGGAGTGCTTTTGCTGGCCCTACTGCAGTAGAACCCTAGTACACGCCATGTAAGGAGCTAGAAACGGGGGGGTGCTTACAGGTGGGCCTAAGCTGCTGCTGGTGCTGCTGGCAGCAGCCTAAGCTGCTGGTGGTTCTGCTGTGGGGGCAGCCTAAGATACTACTGGTTCTGCTGGTGGCAGCCGATACTGCTGCTGGTTTTACAGGGGGCAGCCTCAGTTGCTACTGGTTCTGCTGGTGGCAACCTACGCTGCTGCTGGTTCTGCTGGTGGGAGCCTATGCTGCTGCTGGTTTTACTGGGGGTAGCCTAAGCTGCAACTGGTACTGCTGGTGGCAGTTTAAGCTGCTGCTGGTTCTGCTGGTGGCAGCCTAAGCTGCTGCTGGTTTAACTGGGGGCAGCCTAAGCTGCTACTAGTCCTGTTTTGTGCGGTTTTGTGCGGTTCGTACGGGTCTGCGCGGTTCAAAGCGGTTCTGCGCGGTTCTGTGTGGTTCTCTGCGGTTTAGCGTGGTTGAGTGCGAGTCTTCGCGATCCTGCGCAGTTTTGTGCGGTTCTGCACTTTGAGAGTACCGGGTGTTGGTGTAAGGGCCTAATAAACTCAAGCTATTAAGACTTTATCACACTTAAAACCTCTCCTCGGGGTCACCTCCAAGGGTCCTTGGGTGCCTGGTACAAGACCAGCCCCTATCCTCGGGTCCGAGTTTGTAGAGAGAGGGATCAAGAGGGACTTAGTCAAAACAGCAAGAGTACCTTGAACGTCGCGCAGCGTATCGTGCAGACCGTCGATCGGATTAAGCTGAGAATTTCCTATATCGAAGCTCACTCTAAGAGCTTTAAAATAAGCCAAGTTGCCTCGCGAAAAGTTCTGCCATTACGAAGTTATGGCTCGGACAGCGTTAGCCTAGCGTTGGAGTGCTAGCGTACTAGCGTTGACTCGGGTAGCATTCCGCCGTCGCACCGCGTAGACAAGAAATTCCAGCAAGGAAGGAATTCGCTTGAATCAATTTTACTATGTTCAGGTACAAACAGAGAAGGAATAAATAGCTCTAGCTAGCAAGGACCTTGGGAATCAACCTGGGAACAACCAGGGATGATCCCAAATAATTCCAAGCAACAGAACCAACCTGGCTGGACAAAATAGCAGGTGATAGGTTGGTGAACAACCTCTGGTTCTGTTTTTTCCAACCTGGGGAAACAACAACCAGGTTCAGGTCCTAAAAACAGAACCTGTTTTGTCTTTGCCCAACCAGCCAAATGCTGGTTCCGCTGGTTTCCCCTGGCCCTGTAGCATGCAGATACAGACAAACAACATCCAACCTTCACCTAAATTGTACCCCTATAGTGCCTGCCCTGCTACACTATAGTCAACCAAACAAAACAGTACAATTTCGAGTTGGATAGAACTGAATCTGCGCAATCATGTAAGTTGAATCGCAAAGCTTCCATCCTGGGTTCCTTTGCGAGCTCGTCCTTTCTGCTTGTACTGTTCATAGCGCGTACAATGTTATGCCGAAGCGCACATTTTGCGAGTACCTGCAAATGCTTCAAGCGAAAATTGCGAAAAGCAAACAAACACACAAACATACCATTCACACGCAAATGCATTCGCACACGCATACTCGTACAAACAGACGGCAGGATGTCGTGCAATGTGAATTTGCACCCAACACACTCCCCCTCAGCCTGCCGGCTGCATCCCCATCATTCCATACTAGTTCATGCTCATTCCACTCATGCGCACACAACGCCAATGAGACTCATCCGCAAGCCTCTTGGTGAGGAAGTCTGCTGGCTGCTGGTGAGTCTTGATGTAGATCGGATTCACCGTCCTGTTGGTGTAAGGGCCTAATAAACTCAAGCTATTAAGACTTTATCACACTTAAAACCTCTCCTCGGGGTCACCTCCAAGGGTCCTTGGGTGCCTGGTACAAGACCAGCCCCTATCCTCGGGTCCGAGTTTGTAGAGAGAGGGATCAAGAGGGACTTAGTCAAAACAGCAAGAGTACCTTGAACGTCGCGCAGCGTATCGTGCAGACCGTCGATCGGATTAAGCTGAGAATTTCCTATATCGAAGCTCACTCTAAGAGCTTTAAAATAAGCCAAGTTGCCTCGCGAAAAGTTCTGCCATTACGAAGTTATGGCTCGGACAGCGTTAGCCTAGCGTTGGAGTGCTAGCGTACTAGCGTTGACTCGGGTAGCATTCCGCCGTCGCACCGTGTAGACAAGAAATTCCAGCAAGGAAGGAATTCGCTTGAATCAATTTCACTATATTCAGGTACAAACAGAGAAGGAATAAATAGCTCTAGCTAGCAAGGACCTTGGGAATCAACCTGGGAACAACCAGGGATGATCCCAAATAATTCCAAGCAACAGAACCAACCTGGCTGGACAAAATAGCAGGTGATAGGTTGGTGAACAACCTCTGGTTCTGTTTTTCCAACCTGGGAAAACAACAACCAGGTTCAGGTCCTAAAAACAGAACCTGTTTTGTCTTTGCCCAACCAGCCAAATGCTGGTTCCGCTGGTTTCCCCTGGCCCTGTAGCATGCAGATACAGACAAACAACATCCAACCTTCACCTAAATTGTACCCCTATAGTGCCTGCCCTGCTACACTATAGTCAACCAAACAAAACAGTACAATTTCGAGTTGGATAGAACTGAATCTGCGCAATCAAGTAAGTTGAACCGCAAAGCTTCCATCTTGGGTTCCTTTGCGAGCTCGTCCTTTCTGCTTGTACTGTTCATAGCGCGTACAATGTTATGCCGAAGCGCACATTGTGCGAGTACCTGCAAATGCTTCAAGCGAAAATTGCGAAAGCAAACAAACACACAAACATACCATTCACACGCAAATGCATTCGCACACGCATACTCGTACAAACAGACGGCAGGATGTCGTGCAATGTGAATTTGCACCCAACACACTCCCCCTCAGCCTGCCGGCTGCATCCCCATCATTCCATACTAGTTCATG